GCTGTCCTTTGGGCATGCTTTGTTGACTGTCTTATAGTCGACGCAGACACGCCATTTGCCATTCTTTTTTGGCACCACGACTGTGTTGGAAATCCATCTAGGGTAGTGTACCTCTCTGATTGCTCCTGCCTCCAGCAGGTTTCCCACTTCTTCCGCTACTATCTCGGCGTGGTGGAGTGCCGATCTGCGCGTGCGCGTACGCTGAATGATTGGTCTGGCTGTTGGGTGGACATTGAGTTGGTGACAGATGAAGTTGGGATCAATGCCTGGCATGTTGTATGGTGTCCAGGCAAACACTTTGATGTTAGAGGTCAAAAATTCCAAGACCTCTAATCTCTCAGTGTTGGACAACGACGAACCAAGCAAAAAGAACTTATCCGGGTTCTTTTCATCTATTCTTACTTCTACCAAGTCTTCCACCGCTTTTTGATCAGCTGCTTTGCCAACATCTGCAAACAGTTCATTGTTCTCAGGTTCTTCCACCGAATGAACATATCCCTTGGCAGCGCGGCTGCCATTAACCGTGACAAAGTATTGTTTGGACATAATTTGGTCTCCAAAGACCTCTTCAATTACCCCAGCTTCATTGGGAAATCGCATCACTTGATGGTAGGATGAAGCTACCGCTCTCATGGCATGCAGCCATGTTCTTCCCAAGATTATGTTGTAAGTGGAAGAGACCTTCAACACCTAAAATTCCACTTGTTTTGTCACGCTTCCTGCCTGACTGGCAGGATAATCTTACCGACTGGCCATTCTGGCCAGGAATGGCAACGGGCCGGGGCGGGGCCGGGGATCCCACTCCCCGTCCCCGATCCCCGAAGGTTAAAATATCCCCGTCCTCGTCCCCGATCCCCGGCGGGGGGAAACTCATCACTCCCCATCCCCATCCCCAACGGGGATCGGGTTCCCCCGACCCCGAAAAATCCCTGAGGTTTTTTTAATTTTTTTTTATTTTGTTCAAGAACAACAAATCAACATAGCAGATCTGAGTACCAACAATCATCATCAACAGATTTAAATTAAAAAAACAATTAATCTGAAAAAAAAAATGTTTTCATTATCATCAACAGATTTAATTTATAAAAAAAAAACAATCTGAAAAAAATATATATATACATAATCATCATCTCAACAGATTTAAACTAAAAAAAAAATTGAAAAAAAAAATAGATGTACCAACAGATCTGATACAGATCTAACAGTAACAGATCTGATCTGAGAGACCGTGGCTGTGGCGAGATCAACGGCGGCTGTGGCGAGATCAACACAGGTATTAGCGGCTGTGGCTGTGGCTGTGACCGGCGGCTGTGGCTGTGGCCATAATACAATTGATCAGCCGTTTTTTAATTAAAAATAAGAACTAAACAAAACACTAATTCTGTAGAACAGTGGATTGTCCAGGCATTGTATCACGAGGGCTATGGGTTGAGTTGTATCAATTCGATTGGTAATTTCTAAATTGATTTGAGGAAAATATAATGATTGAATTTAACTAATGAGAGAGAGTGAACTCAGATAGATATAATGATATACTAGATATATATTATAATACAACTAGTGAGTGATCTTTTAACACAGGTATTAGCGGGGAAATTTCGGGGAAATTTCGGGGCGAGGCCGGGCCGGGGCCGGGGCTCAGGAGCCTATCCCCGTCCCCGGCCCGAAATTGATCGGGGAGTGATTTTTTAATACCATCCCCGTCCCCGTGGGGATATTTTTCGGGGAAAAACCACTTATTTCGGGGTCGGGGGATCGGGTCCCCGTCGGGCCGGGTTTAAATTGCCATCCCTAATTCTGGCATTGAGTTGAATCCGATCATGGGGGATACAGCTGGTGCCAGGTCTTTGTCCTCCAATTTCAGTTGTTTGAAGGTGTCATAGTACATTATTTCACACGAGCTACCTTGGTCTATCAAAATCCGCTTGACGTCGTAATCCTTGATGCGGAGAGTCATGACCAGTGCATCGTTGTGAGGACAATATATCCTTTTCAAGTCTCTGTCTGAAAAAGAGATGACATTGGTGGCCTCCATTCTTCCTTTCTTGATTGTGGGTTGTGCACTTAGAACCTCCCTTAAGTGCTCAGCCTTTTTAATCATGCCCCTGAGCTCACATACGTGCTCAGGTTCGCATATCCCATGAATTACATTTATCACGCCTTGAGGTGGGGCGTCGATTGGTATTCCGTTCGGGGGGTTGTCGTTCTGGGAGGCTGGCTGCGTCCCTTCTTCAATGTATTTATCCAGGTGACCGGCTGCCACCAAATCCTCCAAATGTTGTCTCAATGGCATGCAATTTTCAATGCGGTGCCCCTTTTCTTTGTGGAAGGTGCATCGCGATCTTTCATCGTAGTCTTTCTGTGCTTCTCCTAGCTTAACGGGCCATCTGACGAAAGGCTCATCGTGTATTTCACTCAGAATCTGATAGATCGGTTTCTTGAATACCGTGGTTATGGCAGTGTGGACTCTCAACCATCTTTTATCCTGGTCCTCTACGTTGTCTCGCCTGCCACGTCCGTTTCTACTCGGACGGTCTACCGCGTTGACCTTTGCTGAGGCCTTTTTCTCTGGTATTGCGGTCGTGCCAGATTTTGTTTTGGCACGGGCACCATCCTCTTCCACCCTGATGCGCTGATGCACTCTTTCCATCAAGGCCTCCATGGTGAGGGCAAAAGACGGTTGTCTGGTGATTGCAGTCCCTTAGTCTGTTTCCCGCTAGAAGGCCCTTTTGTATGTTCATGGGCCGAGATTGGTGGGGCAGTCCCCAATCTGGTTGAATGTCTCCCAGTAGCGACTATTGTAAGATCTTAGTGACTCCTTTTCGCCCATGTCGATAAAGAGTAGCTGGTCAATCTCCACCGGGGTTTTGGTGTTCGTTCTGAACCTTGTGACGAACGCCTCCGCCAATTGCGCCCAGAAGGCTATGCTGCCTTCTGGAAGTTTTTCGAACCAAGTCAAGCCTTGGTTTCCAAGGCTTGATGGGAAGAGGATGCACATCAAAGCCTCGTTTCGTCGATATACCGCCATAACCTGGCGGAAGTGGCTTAGGTGTATGTAGGGGTCCGTCTTCCCTTCGTACGTGGTGAATTTGGGCTGAAGGAAGCATGAAGGTAGGGGCGCGTTTTCAATTGCCGGAACGAACAGTGAGGTCTGCAGCCTCGCTAATGCTTTGTCCGTTGGTTCGTAGGCAGGGCGTGGTAACGGCATTCCGACCTCGACGCTTCCATGCGTTCGAGAAGCCAACCACTGAAGGGCAGATACCCTGCGAGGGTTGCGCGCCCTAGTACCCTCCTTCCATCGTGCTCTTTCTTCCAGCATGGTCTGCAAGTCGGATGATCTTGGTAACTCCGTCTGCCTGGATGATGTCTGGTGTATGCGCGAGGGCCGATAGGTGCTTCCCTCAGTATACGACCTCTCAGTCCTCGTTCTCTCAGACCTGGAGCAACGAGTCCTGGAGGTTCTGGATTGAGTATCGCCTGTCCTGAGGCTTCTATTCTCTGCTTGTGATGGTGTGGAATGCCTGCCACGGTCTTCTGAGCGGCGAGGGGGCGTCTTGCTTTTGCGCCCCTCTCCTGTCGCCACTCCTCCTCCCTTCAGCTGGCGCTTCATAATCTCTATGTCCGCTGCCATCCGTCGTATCAATTCGTCCTGCTCCTTCACGCGGTCCTCCAGAATTTGGGGATCAATCCTCTGTCTTTGTCTATCAGGACTTTGTGAACGAGAGTGACGGGGGCTGTTATTTCGCCTCCCCCTAGCATCCCTCCTGGGGTTATGTCGTTGGGGCTCCAAGTCAGCCATGGGAGGGACAGGAGGCAAACTTTCGCGTCTCCCACCTCCTTCTGGTGTTTGTCCATCAATGGCGGACTGTGATAAATCTTCGTTGTGCGCCATTGATTCTAAAGAGGAAAAAGCTTGATTAAGAGGTTTTGTTCTAGTCTGATTTTCCCACAGACGGCACCAATTGTACGGGAAAGAAATAAACCTTCTCATATAATCCTGTTGATCAAGATTGCGCTCCTCCGTACGTCGTCGCTTTATCACTTGAAAACACAAACGTGAGCTAACCGGCAGTGTGTGTGCGGATACCTCTCCGATGCCTAAGTCAGTAAAATAGACAAATAGACAAAAGCTCCGTGTATTCGGGAATCAAAGTTGTGTTACTCTCCATAGGTGATGTGTGAGTTTTATAGGTTCCGTGTGGCAAAATCCTAGTAGGACTTTTACTCCTGATTAGAGTCCTCCTAGGATCATTCTCCTAAAGATAATGCTTATCCTTCAACACCCCTCAGTTAAACCAAGTGAGATGGTTTTACCATGGCCGAACTCCAACATGACCGAGGTAAACATGGCTATGCTAAGCCGCAACTAGACAGATAACTTACTTCGGTTCTTCCATTCACTGCTACCACGGCTTTTCCAATGCTGACCAAGTATTGTTAAGTCCGTGCTAACCATTAGCTAGGTCCGACAGAGCTAGCGCGTATACCGTGACCGGACTAACTCTGAGTGTGGCATCCTGGCGACCGAGCTATCCGTAGTGCTCTCCTGGACGAGATAACAATAAGCTTTTTGGGTCGGATTAACTTTAGGGCCGTCTGGGACCGGACTATCTTCAAGCTCTGGATAGGACTAATCTTCAAGCCTTTTACTCTGCCCTCCGTATTGTGGCCCATAACGGCCCATTCCTAGCTCGGCCCAATTTTAAATATAAATTACCCTCTACATTTGGTGAACATTGTAGTAGCAGAAATTATATATGGAAAACTAATTATTTAAACTTCAATTATTGCAAACTATACTGAAATCCTTAGAACGGAATGAATAACAATAAATTTAATTAAAATAACTGGAAATAGGTTGTAATTTATTCCAAGTGACATGAGGATGTTGGTCTTTGAACTATGGAAATCGAGTAAAAAATTAAATCATCTACTTACAACATCATGAATGTACAAAAAATAAAAAATAGAAGCAAAAAAATGGATGGAATCTTGATTACCTCTATTGATGGAGCCTTTAGAACTATTCTCCTCACCAGATTCTGATGCCTCCGTCACATGTACAAAGCATTAAGAATAAAAACATCAACCTTACATGAATTGATAATTTCTCTACAACACTCCAACTCAACAAAAAATTGTGCATTGATGTTAGGAGAAAAGATTTTTCATACTAAAACTAATTCCCTGATAAAATAAAAAAAATAAAAAAAAAGACAGAAAACTACAACAATAAAAGGTGGGTGTGCCCAACACAGATGAAGGAGCTAGAGGGTTTGCAGAATTCGAAAGGAAGATTCATCTTAATTTTATATATATTTCAACAACAACAACAGCAAAAATAAATAAATCTATAAATAAAACTAACAAAGCTCCACTGACTTATGGATATAATGTTAAGGGGATAAAGAGATATGAAAAACTAACAAAAGAGGGAGGGAGAAAGTCAAAAGATGGCATATAGTAATCTTAAAGACCTTAAAAGGGTTGTGTGAACCCTTTTCCAACAATAAAAAACTAAAAAGGAAAGTCAAACATCGAGTTTAGCGAATTGAATTGATTCACTTCACGATTTACCGATTTGGTTCACCGATTCACCTACGATTCATGGCTATTTGCGATTCATACAACCTGCTCGTATTGATTACTCACTAAATCAAATTGCAAATTGTATGATTCTAATAACAGAGATTTCAACACATGTCATATTCATATAAATGAAGTCAAAACTATAAAGAAACACAAACAATTATGCCCAACTTCTCTACACTCCTCTTTCAATTATCCATAAAGAAATTGAAGAAAAAAAAATTCAATCAACACTACATAAACAAACCTGCTAAATGGTAGCTAAAATGACACATGACAAATAATAGGGAACTAATAATTAGACCAAGCAACCATATAACACAACAAATGTTCTGCAATAAGAAATGAGTATATATGTTTTTATCATAAATCATTTTCAATAACTTAGAAATGACAATATTAAATTTAAAAAAATTCGTAAACTAAAAACAGATGGAACAATTTTATTCCCAATGGAAGCCAAGCATCCTATTAAAGAATTGTGATACCTTTAATGGGTCAACATGGTGCATTGAAATGCTATGGACAACAGCTGCAAAAAACAAAAACAAAAAATATATATATTCAAATAGCTCTAACTATTCAAATCCTCTCATAAGCAAAATATGAACCAACCCTTTTGGATCCATTTGGTTTGCTCATGGGAAGCAGCCAACGCACTGTCACAACAAAAAACAAAATTTGGATTCAAAAAAAAAAGGAAAAATTAGGCCACAATATTGATATTGATATTGTGAACTGTTTGAACACCGAAATTGCTTAAGAGATTGACACAGCACGACTATGTAGTGAAGAAACAGCTCATTTTAAGGGAAAAAGAGAACCGCTCATCAATTGATGAAGGCATTGCTAAAATATTGATGAAATTGTTTACCAAATCAATTGACAGAACCCAAGACATGAAAGAAAGCATAGCATACCCACAAAAACACAAAAGCATGAGAGAGAGAGAGAGAGAGAGTATACAAATGGAACTTAATTTAACAGTACTAAGAATGGGAATAAAGGAAAGACTTAATGGAAAAGAGTAATTGGAATAGAGAAAACTTGCAGCTCCCAACCTTGGCCCTTGATGGACTTTGGGGGTCCACAACTTGAAAAATAAAATTAAAAGCATCAGAGAGAGAGAGAAAGAGGTCGTGGAAGTTTTAAATTTTTAATATCAAGCAAATGAGAGCTTCAAATGATCTTAATAAGTAAATATAAGATTAGAAAGTTTCAATCTCAAGCCTATGTCATTCCAAAGATTAGAAAATATAAGTAAGCAAGCTCCAATCCAAAATTTGCCTACTGTTTATTGTCAAAAATAACATCCAACTCTCACTATTTGTGTCACCAATTTGAATATACCTCTATTTTTGCTAAACCTATAATATACCTCTATTTAGGCCACAATATTGATATTGATATTGATATTGTGAACTGTTTGAACACCCAAATTGCTTAAGAGATTGACACAGCATGGCTATGTAGTGAAGAAACAACTCATTTTAAGGGAAAAAGAGAACCGCTCATCAATTGATGAAGGCATTGCTAAAATATTGATGAAATTGTTTACCAAATCAATTGACAGAACCCAAGACATGAAAGAAAGCATAACATGCCCACAAAAACACAAAAGCATGAGAGAGAGAGAGAGAGTATCCAAATGGAACTTAATTTAACAGTACTAAGAATGGGAATAAATGAAAGACTTAATGGAAAAGAGTAATTGGAATAGAGAAAACTTACAGCTCCCAACCTTGGCCCTTGATGGACTTTGGGGGCCCACAACTTGAAAAATAAATTAAAAGCATCAAAGAGAGAGAAAGAGGCCGTGGAAGTTTTAAATTTTTAATATCAGGCAAATGAAAGCTTCAAATGATCTTAATAAGTAAATATAAGATTAGAAAGTTTCAATCTCAAGCCTATGTCATTCCAAAGATTAGAAAATATAAGTAAGAAAGCTCCAATCCAAAATTTGCCTACTGTTTATTATTAAAAATAGCATCCAACTCCCACTATTTGTGTCACCAATTTGAATATACCTCTATTTTTGCTAAACCTATAAAAACATACCTCTATTAAAAATAACATCCAACTCATAAGATTATAAACAAATTGCATGGTGTATAAACTATTTTAATAAACTATGTAAACTATTTTAATATAAGCAGCTAGCATGGTGTTCATAAGTTTAGAATTATATAAACTATTTTAATTGAGCCATTTTACCGAACATGGTGTATGCATGAAGGCACACAAAATATAGAGGGGTGAAGAGACATATTTTAATTGAGGCATTATAAATGAGAAACAAATCACATAATATAAATGAGAAACACAATCAAACCCGAATGAGAAACAAATCACATAAAAAATTAGATACCCAACGAAAACCCAAATAAAAATGTTGAGGCATTTTGGAGACCCATTTTAGAAAAAAATTTCAAAGACCTATGTGAGGCATTTTACAGAACATAGTGAATGCATACAAAGAGACACATAAAACAAAAAAAAATCCGAAAAAGAAAAATTAAAAAAAAAAATGTTTTGATGGATTTTCATAAGATTATATGTTCTCAAGTAGAATTATATAAGCAGCTAGCATGGTGTATAAACTATTTTAATAAACTATGTAAACTATTTTAATATAAGCAGCTAGCATGATGTTCATAAGTTTAGAATTATATAAACTATTTTAATTGAGCCATTTTACCGAACATGGTGTATGCATGAAGGCACACACAATATAAATGAGAAACAAATTGTATTGAAATCTACAGGCATAAGAAACATAAGTATTGAAAATTTTAAAATGAAAATAACAAATTGTAATTGAGAGAGACAGTTGAGATGAGATGAAATGAACATAGAGATGAGACTCAAACAGATGCTGTAGTTTCAAATTGTGAAATTGAAATCAAAATACAGAAGGAAAAAAATGATAAGGTATGGACAAAAACAATATATTCTGTCCACAAAATCACAGTTACAAATCAGTTAACAGACTACCTGATTATTAACAAAAGAATATTATATATATCTACCTGATTAAAGTCTCCAGTGTGGTAAAGCACAACAGCTAACAGACTGTACGCACTCGCAGTCGTACGATGATAGGGACCACAGACCGCTATCATCTTTGCCAATGCCTTCAGAATCAAGTAATACAAAAAATTGTGATTGATTTTTGTACCCGTTAAGAATAGAATTAAACATCTTACTACAGACAGGATGGCTTTGGTACCTTCGTTCCATAGTTGACAGCATCTTCTAGCTATCCTTTATCGAGTGCCATCTTTGATGACTCCAATAGGGTCCGCCCATCTGTAGAAGAGCATCCTACATGCTGTGTAGCATATGGTTCAAACATATTGGTTATTGCAAAGCACGTCACACTAAATTTAGATTGTAAAACTTTCAAATCAAATGCAATTTGTGTGAATGCGTGCAAGTGAGAGGGAGAGAGAGAGAGAGAGAGAGAGAGAGAGAGACCCTTACTTTACACACAGGAACAATGCCGATAATATCAGATTTCTTGAAAGGGCTTGGGCTTTCCATATCATAGTCCTTCGAAAGCAACTCCAATCCAACCTGGATATTTATAAAAAAAAACAAACGAAAAAAGAAACATTAGAATCTCATTCTAATGAAACCATGACCGAAGGCAATAAAAGGAGATGGTACCTTGTGGCAAAGTCCTCGGAGAATTGTTAATTTCCTCAATTGTTGAAACTCATCTGTTAGAGTCCAACCATATCTTTTAGCTAGAAAAGTTCGTAACCACTGCAATTTGAGCATGTGATCACCACTCAAGTTATGTTCACTATCTTCTATTGTGTAGCCCCCAAGCAAGAAATTCAAGCATGAAGCTACTGCTGTGCATAAGTCTGCCACATTATTCTTTTAGCTAGAAAAGTTCGTAACCACTGCAATTTGAGCATGTGATCACCACTCAAGTTATGTTCAATATCTTCTATTGTGTAGCCCCCAAGCAAGAAATTCAAGCATGAAGCTACTGCTGCGGATAAGTTTGCCACATTATTAATAGAAGCAATAAAGGCTTTAAGGACATGCTTGAAAACTCGAGTGACCATCTCGTGAATACAAAGTGACTGTATATGAGGAAGCTTCTCTGCAAGTTCAACCTGGTTTTCATAATGCGATCAGAGCCAACAAAAGTTAATGTCGTATTTTATTTAGATCAAATTTAAACACTCCGCTGAAATTATGCTTCGTACAATCATCTAGCTTACGTAGATATTTGACAATATTGATCAAGTTAGCAAGCACAATAATTTCCCTAAGAAATAAGATTTTCAGAAGCAACATTCCAGTCTCATATCATTTTGAGCTTTGTGGAGCGCTTGTGTATATGAGAGAGAGAGAGAGAGAGAGAGAGAGATTATCTTCTTAACACACAACCCAAAGAGCGCATTTGTAATCCTCTTAGATGCATGAAGTCAGTCCGTCCATCAAAGTCTGTTACCTAAAATCACATATTTTTCACTCCACAAAATCACATATTTTTTCAATATACCTTCTTTAATTTACTTGGGATTCTGAACCCATTTGGTATCATTTGCCATGTTTATTAATTAATTGTGAAAAAAAAAAGCAAAGCCCATTTGATTTCTAAATCAACTCATGACCATTCACATGACGGAAATCAAATCAGCCGAGAAACAACAAACATTGAATGGGAATACTTCACAAAACCCAACAGTATAAAATTTGGAACAACAAAATAATTCACTCCACAATCAAAAAATTTTCAACATTCCTTATTTAATTTACTTGATAATCTGAACCCATTTTGTAAATCAGAAATCACATAATAGGTTCACATAATATAGGTTCACATAAAATTTTACCAGAAATCACATAATAGGTTCACATAATATAAATCACACAAAAATCACATAATATAAATCACATAAATCATATAAAGCACACAATCAAACCCGAATGAGAAACAAATCACATTATAGGTTCACATAATATAAATCACATAAATCATATAAATCACACAATCAAACCCAAATGCGAAACAAATCACATAAAAAATAAGACATCCAACGAAAGAAATTTTGAGAATACATAAACTGAAAATTTCTGGTATATTGACTCACAATATATGTGAGTCAAAAATTAACCGGGTATATTTCTTCCCTTTAAATTTTTCCCTCCGTCCATCTCCGACAAATATCAAAAATTTCTGGTATATTTGAGAATACATAAACTGCATTTTCTAGTATATTGACTCACAAATTCACAATACCTTGGGTCCTAGGCTTATTCGCAATATAGTCTACATATATATAAATAAAAACAGAGCAAATAAACAGTAACATCAATATTCTATGGCATCAAAGTCAACGAAGCTCTGTTTTATGGAAAACAGAACATGTAGAATTGGTGCAATGCCAAGACTGGATTTGGGTCCCCTCCTTTCTGTAATCTTCTTCAAGGATTGGGGCTCTCATCAAATAAACTCCTGGACCCACCGATCTAGGCTTATTTCAGAAACTCCTGGACCATCAGGTCAGGTATGTAATGACCCTACGCATAAAGAAAACCTTACAAAAAAAATATATAGTTAAGATTTCGGAGAACCTCACCGATTTGTTGCTGCGATGTCGCCAAACCCACCGATCTAGCAAGGCTAGCCCCGATCTAGCCGATCGGCTCTTGAATGAGAGAGAGAGAGAGAGAGAGAGAGAGAGAGAGATGGATTTGTCTGTTCTTGAAGAACCATCATAGAAGAACCATCGTAGGATTGATTCACCATTGTAAATCCACCATTGAAATATAATGTCTCTTAGACATTTTGTAGCTGTTGGATTGAATCAATTCTGCGGTTCATATTTTGACAGAGGGACAACAGTCCCATCAGAATTCAAAAACAACTCTCCCTTATTATATTTATAAGATTTAGTATTTTTATCCCATTTTAGAACTTATAAGATTAATCGAATGATCAAATTTTTGGTTGAGGAAAAAGTTCCCCTTTGCTAAACTTTTGAACTGGGGTGAGGAAAAAGTTTTTCTTTGCTTGACTGGATTGAGTTTATGAATTTATTTATTTTTTGGATAATGTTCTCTTTGCTAATTATTTTTATTATTATTTATTGTTTTTGGGAAAGACCAAAAAAGCTTTCCTTTGCTTGACTGGGTTGAGTTTATGAATTTATCTATGTTTTGGATAATGTTCTCTTTGCTAATTATTTTTATTATTATTTATTGTTTTTGGAAAAGACCAAAAAAATTAGCAGTTTTTTTATTTTTTGTTTGCACTACTTCTAAATAGGTTGAATGCTCTGAATTGGATCTCAGTTGTGAGTTATGAAATCTTTCTTTTGAGATTGTGGTTTGAAGATTTTTGAAATGATGCTCCTTGCATTGCAGTGCCAAAGATATCCATGAAGGTTATCACGATGGTAGTCTCTATACTTTAGCTCTTATGTCATTTTGGTCTCTGTAATTTCAATTAGTTCGATTTTAATCTTGAATTTATGACTTTGTCTCAATTTGATCTAATTGATAATAACTGTTAGCATTTTTTTTTTTTATAAAAAATAAACATATAAGTGGCATGTATTATATTTTTAAGGGCAAAATTATAAATTTACTTAACTCAGTGAGTTAATTTCAACCAATTCAGTAATATTTTTCGTCAAAATCACTAACGACATTATCAATTGAACAAAATTGACACAAAATCTAAAATTAAAGGATTTTTTTTTCGTAATAGATGATGCGTACCATAATCTTTCTCAAAATAAATATTGGCAATGGTAAAATAAGGTTAAAAAAAAAACTAATACATAATTATAAGGTTCTTTTAGATTTTTTTTCAATTCTCTTCTTAAATTAATGATTCAAATATGGTGTAAGTATTATTCAAATCGAGAGAAATAGAAAAAGTAGTTGTTGCATTAAAAAAATAAATGGTAAATTACACTAACTTCTTTTATATACATTTTTTTTATAAAAAAAATGGCATCAAAAAAATAAAGGGTAAATTACACTAATTTCTTTTTAAGATTTAAAAAAAATAAATTAATCTCATACTTTTAAGATAATTGCATTAACTTTCGTTTTTAGTATCGTGGTGTGTACCACAATCTTTCTCAAAACAAATATTATAGCGATTCCGATTTTAATCCCTTACTTGTTGTATTCTGGACTCGAGTTTGTATAGTTTTGAATAGTTATTCATATCTTGTTTCCCTTGTCTTCCTTGTAACGCTCCAAAATCTCTCCAACATAATCTAGGTACATCGACTAGCATTCTGTAACGCCCTCAAAATTAACCCATTATATATCATTGACATGCATTATTTAAAGAAGACAATTTATGAATCCATTCATCAGAGTAATACTAAATAAAGCATTACATGTAATATCGAATAAAACGCCCTACAGGCTTACATCTTTCCAAGCCAACACTTGGATACAAAAATATGAGTTCTAACTCAATACAAGGAAAGCCCTAGGCTTGAATGTTTACATGTAATAATAATTAAAGACAATTAACTAAAGGTAGTCCTCTCCAATCCAGAAGCCAAACCCTCCCAAGCTAAGTCCTTGGAGGTAGTTTATCACCTGAACCTGAAAATGATGTTCCCATAAAGGGTGAGCCACAGCCCAGTAGAAATATACTAAACCACATATAAGCAATGAATAAAACAATAGCATTCAACAGATGGTTAACCAAGATAAACAATTACTTCAGTTTATAGTCTCATGACACTATTGTCTAAGACACGTTTTACTTTCCAACTTTATCAACATGGCTCAGAACCTGGCCAAACTTACAACAGTGAATTACATATATCATATTCACATCCTTCCAATATCAACAAACAAATGAGACCCAAGCTCAATCAAAACACTTCATACTTCCAGATTGAGTACACGCGCCCAGACGACCTCTGATCAACCTGCTCAACCCTAGGAGCATAAGATTGCTGCACCGACTGAGACGATGAAGCCCCCTGATTGGCCCTCGAGGCCTGACCCGACTGAG